GTCACAGGTTATGACGTAACAAAACTAATTTTAACGCAATAACACTAGAGGGATAATTTTTTTGTTCCGATTTTCTTCTTTATTTGTGCTTTAGTAATCTGGCATATCACATGTGCAACACAGCTGCATTTTCTGGAACAAAATTACGGCTCCAATTTGGGGATTTTGCTCAAGGGGGGGGGACCCCATATTTTGTAATAGGTCTCCTGCTCATCTGCCAAGTTTGGTGTAGAAAGAGTCAATACTTTTTAAGTAATGCGAAATAATGTGCAATACCCAAGAACTGACGAAACATGTGGGGGGTGGTTTGGCCCCTACGTGAAAGGCCGCTGGAAAGGCAAAAGTCGATTATTTTACTGACTTTTTTCGCATATTCCTTATTATCAATTATTCTTTCGGGAACGAGATTGTAACAAGTCCCGAACTAAGCAGCGACAAAAGAATCCGGCTTGGGGCATTACCAAGGTAACAGTGACATCATACTGACCAGTCTCGTACTCATACCCCCTCATATTTCTAGTAAGTTACTCAACACAGACACAACGCAAGCTCAAATTTTACTTGTGATCCATTCCGCTAATTTCAAGCTTTCTTCACTGAGATTTCACTAGTTTATTTACAGGACTTACTTTTATACCTCACAATGTGTCTGGCATGCTTTGCCATCAAACAAACACGTTGTCAAGCAAACACGTTGAGAGATTTTTTATTACGATTATTTCAAATGCACACCTGTCACTTTAGTCTAGACCCTGAATTCTCCCATCCCCACGCTGCAAAGAGACAATAAAAGAGATATTTGCCTCATTAGCACGAACGATACAGTTTCTGATGAAGCTACAAAAACATTAGTTCTGAATACTGAAAGGGCACAGCACGATTAACTGTGCCAAGGAATTTGATCCCGATGTATTGAATACTTTTTGTGCAACGCGGTTTAAAAACTCAAAATGTAACAAAGAATCAGTATGAGCTCATCAGCGCTTTTGCCGCCCAGCAATTTCCCAGTTTTTGAAAGCCGATTTCTCCTCGAATGTTACACCCAAAAAGTCACAAGCTCTTTAAATGTTTGTAGTCCATTTGCGTCTGGCGTGATGCCAGTCGTACGTTAAAGAGGAAAAATGTAAACAATGACGTCGGCAAAGAGATCGTTCTAAATGGGGTTGAAACCAGGCGGGGAGGGAAGGTTCAGGGACTGGTCTAGTCTCGTCCTAAACACACGTGAACCAGAATGATATTCAAGTCACGCACAATAATCACTCAGGTTTCGGTGCCGAATCAGTCTTCGTTAATTCGTCGTGTTTCTTGTTTGCTGCAACATATTCAGGATAGTCGATATATCCATCAGAATCTAAGTCATCCATGCTTAAAATCTGATCCACCGTTTTCGCATTCTCCTCTTCTGAAGTGGATTCCTTGTCAGTTACTCCTGATTCGTTCTGATAGTGGCTTAAAGCGTGCATGATTTCAAGGCCGTCCAGTTTTCTGTTGCCGTCGTAATCGTGGAGCCTGAAGTAGTGAAACATCAGGTCTTCATCGCTCATTTGGTCTTCTGTCAAGTCTATCTCGTCTTTAAGATGCTCTTTGATGTGACTAAAAGAAATAAATAACATAAAGTGTTGATTGAAGAGTTAGTCACTATACAGTCAACTTGTACAATTGTCAAACGTCCTATGGTTGACATAACGGGTTGTTAATTCGGCAGAAAAACGCTCTCTCCCATAATTGGTGTGACTTCGCAACACCTCGGCCCCACACATTCACCTTGCTAATTTTCAAATCCTGGGCGAAATTTCTAAAGGAGAACTTGTTTTTCAGGTAAAGACGGCAATTTTGAAGAGGATTTCTTTCGAGTGCCCTCTTAATTGTTTCCCATTGAAATTTTCAGCACAGAGGGAAATAAAACAATAACAAATCTATCGCATTTTGACCAAGAAAATATACGGATTTCTTTTACTTAATTTAATAGACTTGAGATTCAGAAGTGTTGACCACCTTATCTTACTTTTATCTCATCAGCTATTTAAATTCACTAGCTTGCCTCCTCGATTAAAATAAGCCTTAAAGTATTATCTTAATAATAAGCCTTTTCAGCAGCTCACATTTTAACTTTCTCTTCACGCGCGCGTGGCTCGCACTTCCCGTATCTCGTTACACGTTTCGCGCTTCTCACTTCACGCCTCGCCTGTCATGCTGTTGGCAATATGTTGTCAAATTACAAGGCAGGCAGGTGCACTTTACTGTAGTTTTGAATAATAACAAAAATATATATGTATCTCCTCAAATGTAAGTAGAAAGGAGTATTCTGTATGTTAAGTGCAATTTTACTGGCTTAAAGTTGCCTACTTCATAAAAGTTCATCAGAGTAAATAGTTAGAATGAGCAACGGTTTTAAAAATTTTGTTCCAGTTGCTTATATTAAGCGTTCGAGTTAGGCCTTGATCTCAGTTACAGCAGCTGTAGAATAGGACATCCAAGGCAAAACTCCCTTTTATTTCGCCTGGGGTCTGTCAAAAACCTCAAGCTTGGCGCCGTTCGATTCAATAAACAGGGAACTATGCTTGAATTCGAATAAATTTTATTTTTATTTTGTATATTCTTCTCTTCGATCGACAATCGGTTACCACCCAGCGAAAACGATGCAAGCTGACAGCTATGTTACAGTTTTGGCCTCCATGATTCTGATAAGGTGCCGTTAACGATCCAAAAACCGACATGATTCTCAAAGCATTCGTCTTTGAGCTGTTGTTAAAAAAAACCTGCACATCAAACAGACCATCAGACTAATATAAATTCACTTACTCTCTATCGTGGGTGACCTTGGCATCGTGTAGAGCTGACTTGGGTTCTTCGGCGGTAAGTATCGAGGTGAAGAGAGCGAGAGACAAAACACACACGTTGATGAAATCTGGGAGTAAAACCATTCTTCTTTCCTTCTTTGCGTTGCCTCAGAGCCGTTTCCCAGGATTACACGCCAGTAGCTTATAAAATTCACTTATCAATATGGTAATATACGCGGTATTAAATTAGTTTCCACACCATTGAACAAAAATTGTAATTCGTTGTCTTATCTCCTATCTCTTCGTGCATGCGTGTGGTTACTCAATCGGTAGGTTTTACAAAAAGGACAATGGGTAATTTCCTCGCTCCAGTGCGGGTGATTCCATGTGAAAGCATTTTCCACTATGTCTTTCTTCTTCAAACTTTGAATTTGCATACGGAGAATAAAATAAGTTTGAGCACTTAACAGAAATTCCTTCCTGCAAGTTGTGAAAGCCAGTACAAAAGGTTATGTTGGCCCTAACACATTTTCGTTTCACAACGCAAATTTTCTTGACATGTTCATTCTGGAAATTTGGAAAACGCTGCTCGTTTTAATTTAAACGGAGACTTCTGAAACGGTTCTTTTAGTGAAGATTACTCAAAACCCGGCCGTATCGTTTGGGTGAAGGCGATCGGGTGCAAGCGAAGACAGACAACAATTGCTTTAAAATTTCCTACCACTAAGACCTGCTTCGCGAAAGTAAAACCCCACCCCTTTTCCTCCCAAAAAAATATCTTAGACGAAAACATCCATGGCTATTACTAATAAGCTGTACTTTCAAACTGGTAATTAAGTCTCCAAAGGAAAATACGCCTAAGGGGTAACAATCATCAAAGAAACAGCGCTTAGAAATTCAAAATAGTTGATTAATTTATTTATTGAGATATTTTACAGAGGCTTTGAAGTTGATAACATAACTAATGCTGGACATGACAGTTGAACAGGCGACTGTGTACCTGAAATACATATACAAAAAAAAAAGTTTTAAAAAAATCAAGTGTTGTGTATTTTCCATCTAGGTTGCTTGCGGAAGAGGAGGGAAGTGCAATGGGGGTGGAATGAGGGAGAATTAAGGGTGGTTGTGCAGTTTGTACGAGGGGGGTATTTTTTTCTGCAAGCAGATCTTCCCTTTTGCATGCCATTTTTTGGGGGTGGGGAAGGAAGATTTGTGTTTTAAATTTTTTTATTTCAGTGCTTTAGATGAGGTTGACAATTTTTTTAAAAAGTTGACACTGGATAACATTTTAGGTTTCAAAAAGGTAATGAATTGTTATTCTGGTATTCTGGTATACCATGGCTTTACCCAAACACCTCTATCGGTGTTATTCTTAATTGTTCCCCAAATGACCCCTTACCCCAACCCCCTCACACTCAACCCTCAGTCTGAGGTTGGAAAAGAGGAAATCTTCAGAAAATCTTTTCAACCTTGAAAATTCTTAGGAGAGTGAGCCACAGAAGTTGTAAGAAAATCTAACAGTTATTTTTGTAAATCTCTTCCTGGTTGTCCAGAGAGAGGTACCATGCAGTAAAGTGTATTGTCACAGAACTGGACACACAAGGACCCCAGCTAGGGCTTGACCATCTGATCCTGTATCTTTGGGTTCTAACACTTAATTGTTCAAACAGTAAAGTTATGTACAAGGTAGGAAAGTTACCCACCAAAGATATTGTAAATGGGGATGATCCACAAATCCAAAGACAGGGGCTGCCAGTGAACAGCCAACAAGAGCTAATTGTAAAACAGTGTTGGCCTTAAAACAAAACAAAATATAAATAGTATGTAAAAAAATTTGTCCACCTACAGCCATCAACCATTCCTCACTAATTATGTACAGTAAATTCCAGAAAGACTGTCCTAAAAAGAGTGTACATTAAAGTGCACGCAATAATGTCAAAAGGTATTACGGAGGTTTCCTGTTGCTTGGTTAAAGCTCAAGGTGCCGGCTTCAGCTTGATAAAAGAAAAACAGCACACACATGTGTACTTCATGCTTTCTCCTTCTCTCTTGCTGAAACAGCATGAACCTCAACCATGCAAAGCTAAACTATTACAACTACATTTGTAATTAGATCAGTCTAACCGTAAATTAAAATGTAAATTGAGGAACTAAAAAAAAGATTGAAAGATTGAAGATAGAACTACCCATAACACCAATCAGCATTGTGGTGTAGGTTTACGCATTTGTATTGATCATTGTTCTCAACAGTTAGATAAAAAAAAAACTATACATAAAGCAGAAAAAGCCCTTTTGTGATAGTGATCAGTAACGTTTTTTTCATCACCTGCATGGATAAACCTGGTACTGATGATTATCAACAAAAGAACTTTGATGTCAATCAATCACTGACATAACTAGACATGAGAACAGCTCACTTCAACTCACCTTGCCAAGGAGATTTGGTCGTAGTTCCACTGTGGGAAAGTTAAAATCGAAATATCTGGAAATTGTTTTCTGTACATAACAAAAAATTAGATTAAATATATTTAGGACACGTGTAAAACACAAACACCTACCAACAAAACTATATTTCAGTGTAACAGAAGTAAGCAAGACAGCAGGAGAGTAGACTCTGTTGTTTACATTAGGTTCAGCTGACTATCAAAAGTTTCTTATTATAGCTTTAGCTTACTAGGTTTAGCATTTGCTTGGCTTTGTTGAGCAGTGGTTCGAAATTCTCTACATACAGTCTGGTACAAACAAAATAAAAAACCACTTTACTACTTAACTTAACCAACCAGACACATTTTACAAATGACTATACCAAAGAAAATAGATTGTAAGTTGCCTTTCGAAGTTCTTCCCATTCAACTAGCAGCACATAATTTTCAACTTCCCATCTCAAGAAGGAAGAAGGGCTTTGATAGACATATGCTGCATGCTTAGTTTTACCAAGCTTGCAAATGGTTTCAACAGTTAATTAACTACTGTAGGCTTTTAATGAATCAGGTTGCAGCTTGCAAGGTCTCACATAAATGGCTTGATACCCTCTGAGGAAACAATAATTAAAAACAAAATATAGAAACAGTGCTTCTAGACCCAAAACAATAACAGCTGCAGACACTATAATGACAAATAGAATTGCAAGCTCATGAGAGCTGTTATACTTCTGGTTTGAATAGTTAATTTTTTTGTATTTGTCACAATCAACCAGACTTACTGGCGATGGAAGAGACTTGTATCTGAAGTAGAATGCACAGCTGACCAGCACAGCATCTCGGCTCAGAATCAATGCAGTCAGAGCAACTACAGAAAAACAAAAACGTTACAGCGTAACCTGGGACACTTTCCATTCAACCAAAAATTCTGGTTTGAATTTCTAGTGGTGATTGGAACAGAATTTTCCCGAATTTCCTATAGAAAGGTCAACCTCACAAAGTATACCCAAATTTTCAGAAATTTCTTACTGGAAATCTCCATTGCATTTGACTTTCTTACCAAGATTTCTGGAATTTTCAGTCAAATAGTTCGCATTTCAGAACTTTTACCATAATTTTTTGGAATTTTCCAGAAACTTCTCCAATAAATTTTCATAACATTTGCCAGCATTTTGAAAGTTCCAGAATTTTTGATTGAATGGAAAGTGCCCTTTGTTTTTCTAATTCACCATAATGTTAACATAACCTCACTCATCACTAAAGAGCCACAAATTGTTCTAAAAAATCACTATCAAATAAATTTTATTCTCTTAAATTCCTCAATTATTTTGGTCATCTCAGGCTTCCACCAGTAACACCACTACTGGTAATCATTCCAGCATCTATTGCAGCTATATTTACCAGGTAAGAGAGACACCACGGTAAGAGAGACAGTCACCACTGACATCAAAATCTTGTCAGCAAATGGATCTAAGACTGTTCCCAGAACTGACTTCTGATTTGCAAAATTTCTTGCTATGAATCCATCAAGCTATAACATGAACAGAAAAGTAACCATAAGTTATAATTTAATTCAACAAGACCTAGCAAAATCTGAATACATGTAGGCACAATGCTGCAGATGACAGAACCATTCGGCCTAATGATCATTAAGTTGGACTTCTAGAATGAGAGTCCTGTGTTTCAGTGCCGGTGGGGGTCATCGTGTTGTAGAGTTCAAACAAGGCACTTATCTCTCTAGCACACTGCCTCTCTCCACCTAGGAGAATAAATGGCTGAAAACTGTTGACAGAGTAGCCTGGTAAATGTATACCTGCCAATTCTTATATAACTTAGGCAGGAGTTTCATGCCTGGAGGTTGAAAACTTTGATCTCTCGTCTACTCAAGCCTTTGGACGAGTTTACCACACCAACTAAAACATTTTAACCTCTTATCAGTTTTGTTGTTTGCATAGGTGGATCTATATCCAGGGGTGGGGGGCCTATAAACATGAAGGGGGCTTACAACTAGAATTTTCATGGAGCTCTGGCAGCCCAAAGGGCCACCAAGCAAAGCACCATACTCATATAGGAAAGAAAAGGAAACCCATGAATTGATTTTCCTCGTGGTTAGCATGGCTAGCAGTATTACTTGTGGGCGCGTACGCTCCACGATGATGATGAAGTTACGCAACATGGTGGCCATACTCCAGCTAATAGGCTGACTGAGCCATGCAGCCTTGGTTAACAGCATGCATCTTTGATCCATGCTATGGTCAATTGACACCTCTCAAGACAAGGTGTTTGCTGACCAGTATCATGTGACCATACTACTGGCTCAAGTACAGAGCTCATTGAGGTCACATGTTTTCTTGAAGTCAACTGCTGCCCAGGTACTGGTTTTTGGCTGGATTTCAGGCTCAAGCCTCATTAATTTATTGTAATCAGGAGCTCTGCTTTTAGGCTTAAATATTAGTGTTTTCATTAACCCTCCCCTACACTGCCCACCTTCCTACCCCTAAAGAAAATTACATCCTCAGTAGCTGCCAGTTTATGCCTGTGATCTGGTTTTAAGACCTAAAAACTGGACATTCTGCTAAATGCTTACAAGTTCTATGTAAAAAGTTAAACTGATTTTGTATCAATCGATTCTGTTCTGTCATATAAGAGGCCTCCATGTATCCCACATCCCGTTAACTTTCCGCTGAAATATCCTGTGTCCTGTTACTTCCAGTTGCAAAATTAACAATTTTCATACTCAATATCCTGGGATATCTGATCTTATAACCCACACTTAAATTTCACGCAATTCTATTGGCTACTTTACGTCACGTGGTGCAAAATTACTGGGCAGTTATCACGCAAAAACCTCCGCCTGCGTCGATAATTGCCCTGCAACTGTTTCTGTTGAAAAGAAACAAAGCTAAAAATAATAAATCCAGCTCTAGAATATCACATTGTCATCTTTATTATTTTTCATGGAAGAAAAACAAACTATTTTCGTGGACTCCGCTGATAATGACATTAAAAAAAAAAAACTGGTCGCCAAGCTGTTCCGATAAGTACAAAAAAGTGGACAAAATATGCAAAAAATTAATGGGAGGGTTATAAAATAAATAAACCCCTTTCTGGCTCGCTGGTATGTTGGCTCATAATGTCCTTGGCTGAGAGATTGTCCTCAAAATTTCACATTTGCCCTCAAAGTTTCACTTCTCGGCCAAATATTCATTTTTTGGACAATATCTCAGCCGTGGACATTATCAGCCGACATAGCGGGCGCCAGAAGGAGTTTATTTACTAATTAATATGCCATATCTCATAAACTCTTTCCCCAAAATATCCTGTATCCCGTTAATTTTTACCAAAATATCCCGCATCCCGAAGTCATAAGGATTGTCGACTTCGAATTTCCGTGTCCATCAATTTAGCAAGTTCCGAACTAAGCCCCGGCCACTTACCATTTCTTTCATTTTTTCGAGCTTCGCCTTTATTTTCCCAGTCCCTGGTTTTGTTTGGTCGAGTTCTTCCCTGCCATGCTGAAAGTGGAACGTTGTGGATCGGTGCGTTGATCTGAAAGGTCTTGAACCTCGCTGCCACAGAATGCCTCCGGATATGCGATCTTCAGACGAGTACCGATACCCAAGAAAGCTGACGCTAGAGATGAAGGCAGCAGGAATAGTATACTTGAATTTTGATGTAATGAAGTTAGGACCAAAACATTTTTTTAGGGTTGAACTTAGGCGGAGTGTCTTACAACCTCTGCAGACACCCGCCATCTTGAAGGGAATAGTCACCAATCCTCTCCATGGAAAACCAGTGCAACGCGATAGCCTGGGTATCGGGACAAAATTCAACATGGCGTCTGGAGGAGGTATTATCAAAGGAGTCAAAGGTTTTTTCCAAAAACCAGCTGTAAAAACTGTCGTGAAAACCCTGTTTCCGGATCCTATGGCGAATTTCAAGTATTCAGAAGTTTTGTGGAACTTTAGAAATAAGGAAACCCTGGAGCAATGGACGCTTATCACAGATGAGCAGTTTGGTGGCAAATCTACAGCCGAGTTTGTACGAAGTCCAGGCGGAAAAGCTGTGTTTAAAGGGAATATTTCTACTGAATTACCCGCAGCCACGAATGTTAAATACAGTGGTATGTGCTCTATCAGATCACAGCCACAAAGGGTAAGTTTTGTGGCGCATCTAGTACTGTATGCAAAATTTAAGCTCAAGGTTACATAATTTTCAAGATTAAGGTACAAACTGGAAAGCACCCGAGTGGGGGCCTGGGCGGGCCTGGGCTGCCCTGGTACCCAAGGTACCTGAGCCATGAGTGATTTCCATTTTCTCAACAACTCTTGATTTTGCGCTATGAAAATTAATGTACCAGGAAGTGCACAGTGTTATTGTAATGGCTGACTTCCACTGATTGAGTCTATAAGTAAGCTAGTTTTCCCTGGGAGTCCTATTGTCCCATTCTTCTCAACCAAAGCATATACCATGTTACATGTGCTTGAAACTCTGTACTTGCTATTAGGGGGAACTTGGCCTTAACTGTTGTAATGGAGACCGCAGTAGGTAACTTCTCCATACGGAAGATGGGTGAAGGTTATCACTTTTACGGTTTTCAAGCAAAGAGAGAAAGTAAAAAAGGCAAGTCACTCCTCTCTTTCCTGTCGGGCTGTGTGAGTCTAAGCTGGACTGTGCTCTTTAAAAGAAAAAACGTTACATCATACATTAAATTGTGTCTTTCTCTTCTTGTTATCCAGGATAGGAAAGGAGATGTGACAGCAAATGAAGTAGCAGATTATGATGGTATTGTTGTAAGATTAAGAGGAGACGGTAGAACCTATACACTTAATGTTCAGACAAAGGGCATCAGGGATGACGATATACATCAGTCTTTTTTTCACACAAGAGGAGGACCATACTGGGAGAT